AACCTCGGAAGCCTTACGCAGAATTCTCAACAAGGCAGGAATAAAAACGGCATTCAAACCCACAAACTCAATTAGAAACAAGCTTTGTTTGTTAAAGGATCCTGTAGAGCCTTTAAAACAAAACAATTTAGTTTATCTAGTACCCTGCTGGAATGATTGTCAGGTCAAATACATAGGTCAAACTAGTAGAACAGGGGCAGTCAGACTAGCTGAACATAAAAAACTTAGCAAAATCTAGATTGGTTGACCCGAATAAAATAAGAAATCTATAGAATAGTTCAGCTATAGCACTACATGCATTCACACACAACCACACAATAGGATGGGATAGGATGACAGTATTAAAATCTAATGTCACAGGGTATAGGGAGAGATTGATAACAGAAGCTTTGTTTATCGAATCAACTGCAAATACATGTAATAGGAATGATTCATCACCTGTCCCCGATATCTGGAAAATTCTACTCCCCCTACGACAAATAGGAGAAGACAAAGAAAGCTATAAAACTCAAGTGTCAAAGTCGTGTGATCACAATTGATATGATTATGAACAATAAATTTTGTTCGAAACGTCATCCAGTAAATAATACTGTTTCACTGTGTGATATACCTAATAAACAAACTAATATGGAATCAATATGGTTCAATTCTTCCCTCACTTTCCGAAGTAACTGCAATCAGAAGATTGAAACCTGATTTATGTTTTCAGAAAGAATCACTTTTCAGTCTTCCCTTACTCTGGTGGTTGATTGCTTTCACTCTCTTTTTCTACTTGATTACGCAATCTTTGGCTTCAACCTCTTCTCCTTTTGCTGTAATGCAATTTCGCTTGCATTTTGACTCCATGATTTGAGTTAAATTTACCAAACTGTTACTTAACTTAATGGTTACTCATCATCTTGTCTACCTCTTGTCTCTATTACGCAACTCCTTTGACACTTTATTGGAACATTTATTCTTTTCTTCAGTGAACAGATCAAAACATTCTCCTAGGTTTTAGGTGGTGAGCGGTGAAGTCTGTGGTGAGTTTTCGTTCTATTGGGGACTAATCGACTGGAAGCAATTGCATCTCCAGTGAGTGATGGTGTTCCGATTGAGAAGTGAACCCAGCATCTATCATCTGGAATGTCAAAGCTTCATCCAAACGGATTTATTCCAGCCTCAGTGGGAACAGCACCACTCACGGAAGAGGCAAACATATTCGCCGACGAGTCCCAAACAAGGTGAAATATGTCTTCTTATGCCAGCCATCAATACGGACTATGTAATACCATGTTTATTAAAAACATCATCGAGGCTGTCTTGCTTGGAGATGACGTAAAAGTAGCCGCAACAAAAATTGCGAGAGAAAAGATGAAAGTATAACTGAGGACAAATCAAAGAGGCACTTAAAGCAAAACTAGAACCGATTATTACTTTATCAGCAAAAGTCTTTTAAAACTCATTCTGAGAATTTTGAAGTCTGCCAAAGTCTTCTCTATTCCTACTTTCGAGACCAAAGTTATTCTGTGACGTTTGGGATATGTGTGACATGTGTTACTGATAAGATTTGTAAGTAGTATACATACATATATATCATCAGCCAAAATATTAAATAAGTGAGAGGTGGATGTATTACTGAGAAGAAAAAACGAACTATCCTTGTGAAATAATTTAGGAAGCATGAAAGGAAAGGGAAAAAATGCAATGCGAAAGACATGCGCGAATTGTGATTTCAGTGTAAGGTAGGTGTATTCTGGCTGCATCTACACATCGAATTGTCAATAAACAATTTTGTTAACAAATATATTTGTGCTCTGCCGTCGGCTGTATTCATTTCCTTTCACGGTGAATATTTTGACTATCGACGATTAAGTTAGATAAGCCAATAAACAGCAGATATAAATTTCGTCTAAATATGGGACTATTCAGCAGTTCACCAGGAGTCAGATTTGTAGACTAGTATGTTTCTATTCGTTCAGGGGATTTAAAAAAAGTTTCATTGATTTTTAACATCCTGTATTTCGTGATAGAATGTACTAAATTGCCTGTTCTGCTTTAAATCCAGGATAATCTAACCATTGATTAATTTATTTGAAGTCCTTTGAAGGGTATTAACCATCAGTGGAATGCACGAGATCTCTTTCGTCCTTTTTGGGGACTCGTCAACCGGATATAACTACTTCAGAAATTTGTGTATTTCATTCACTAAATGAGACAAATACTTACAAATATAAACAAGTAGTCAGTATCTTGTCTAAAACCAGTTTTTTCTTTGTAATTTATCTGTTTTCTTCTCATATTTATGATTTACTCAATGTGATGCACTTAGAAAAAGTGCTGATTAGGTGTGCATGACAAGTATACACTTCATATTTATCATTTGTTTGCACTTCAGTCAGGCTATTAACTCAGCATCCTTTTCTTTTCTAGTCGTTGATAAACTAAAACAACTTCTTTGTCTTGTGATATTTTCAATAACCAGTTTATTTGCAAACTTCTCAGGTTATCATCTGCTCTCACTGTTCATTTTTCAGACATTAGTGAAGAATGCCTAGATGTTATCTTACTGTAACAGACATGTATGAGCTACAATCAAAATCTTGGATGTATCTGTTTTAAAATCATCGGGTGAGCACCTGATATGCTGATAAACCTGTATACCAATCGACTGATAATAATAATAATCACATTTAAATGCGCGTACCGAAAAAATTATGGTACCCTTTTGAAGTGTCACATTAATGTGTTAATTGGAACAGTAATCTAGCAACTACGATAATAATGGTAATAAGGTCCAAATCATTTCTGCTCTTTTACTCACATAATAATTGGTGTCTGTGTATATTTTATCAGCTTAAGTGATTCCCCATAACTGTTAACACGACTGTTACTTCTCACAGGTTTAAATTACCCGTGTATTGATTTCTTCTTCTACAATAAAAGTGGTTACTAGGCAGCACTGCTTACTTAAACAATTTTTAAGTAGTTATGTAAGTTTCGGCATATCACTCAGTGAGATAGTAATATGAATGACATGACTTTGGAAATACAATTTATTACAAAAATTACCCGTCTAGACACAAGAATAAAGTACTTAATGCTGACTAATTATACCAACTGTAACTACACAACTTCAAAATTCACTCTTTCTGATACTCCATAGTCTCTTTCAATTGTCATAGGGGAAGCAGAATTTTTCAAATATCCAGGACAGATATTGAATCATTCGTATTGCATTCTTATATTCTTAGTTAATTCAATAAATAAGGCTTCAACTATTAATCCCTCCTTCACCCTTGTTGTATCAGATTTTAAGACTGTCACATCGTCTCATCTCGACAAATTCAAGTGGAATTAGGTCCAGTTTCCAAGATTAAAACATGCATTCATCTGATAAGACTGTAGTATTACAGGACATGTGCAGATGAAGGCGGAATCAAGAGAACCCCTTGAAGGTCAGTATACCTTTACGATAACAAAATCATATTTAGTCTTATCAAAATCTGCCGTGAAAATGTATTTAACACTCTGAGTATTACTACCTGCATCCACAATGACATGATATGACTTTTACTGTGAAACAGATTGTGAATAAATGATTTGTCCAACTAATCATGACAATAGAACCACGGATATTCTGTTTTATATTTAATTACCAGTTGTTGGTAATCGTAAGGCCTTAAAAGTTAAAAGTTACCGTAAATATTGCCTTCTCATACTCAGTTAGAATTTGGAAACATTTTTATAGTATTTGAAAAGTATACCAACGCACTTTGTACGATGTACTGATAGACCAATACAATCACCGTTACCATAATGCTGTTCATAAATGTCATTTAGAACTTATTTATTATGTTTTGTCGGTGTAAATATAGCGGCCCTTAAATGTTTATCTAGTTCAGGTTGATTCAATAGACCAGATAGGATTCTCACCAGAGTTCACAGGATAATAATAATTTGCTTTATTCCAAAACAGTACTTGTGATACAGAATGGAATTCTCCGCATTTTCACTACAGTATTGCATTCAGTTAGTACATTATCAATGAATAAAATTCTACATAGATTAAGGAAATCTCAGTTCATTATGACAACAACATATTGAGATGTTGGTAGCAAAGCCAAAGTTGAACAGTGCTTGAAGGTGTTAGAAAAGTAGGGGCTGTCATATTTACTGGCATAAGCGAGAGAAAGAAACAAAACAGCACAAAACGGAAAGAAAAAAGAGAGAGAAAAGGAAAAGAAAGAAAGAAAATGTTGTACCTAAAAATGATATGAGTTGGAAAGACGGGGTCCAATTGTATTACTGACTATTTAATGAATTATAGGTGTCACGTCTAATGCTTTCAAAGAAGAGATAACATTACAAAGATGGAGATGGAGATTCAAGAATACTAAGTGCAACTTGAAAAAGTAATATCTCTTACGCGTAATTTATAAGTTGACAGACAAGCGCCAATAAAGTCTATCACGAACTAATTCATTTCATTTTCAACAAAGTGTCTTGTGAAAAAATAATTGTTCGGAAATTCATTGAAAGGTGGCTAGCAATTCATTTTTGTTTGCCATTGTCAGTTTCTTTTTATGTCTCTGATATCACTTGCTGTGAATCTAATGCTCCATGTTAAACAGACACTAAAGAGTTTCACGAATGCCAACTGTCTAATGTTTACTGTTGAATATACATATTCTCTGACGAATTCTTTCTCAATACGGAGAGTAGTAATACTGAAGATCAGTCCGTACCACTTTGTCTAGATCGAAATGTCGACCATACAACCAAGTAAGTATGGGTATCATAATCACAAGGAATTCGTTTTAGGTAAGAGGAGAAAAAGACTTGTCAGCCTAGATTTAGAGCTTGTTCGATTCAACTACTCAGTGGCAGTCTGAGAACTGTGTGGCAATCCAGTTCATAAAACCTCAGTTCCTGTTTCTATTACTCTAAAATTTAAATTTTCTTAAAAAAACGCAAATTAATATTATCAAGTAAAACACACATACTGAAATTCCACTTACTTTTCTGATAGTGCAAATCGTGGTAGGCGTTTCTCCTTACTGCTGAGTCGATCACATTTCGATGATTGATTATCTTTTTGAGTGTAATCAGTTAGTAATTCCGAATAAATCAGCATGATGACGTGTGTGTGTGTGCGTATGTGTTTTGTTGATTACACTTTGTTGTTGTTAAATAATAATCACATCAAGTGGTCATTATCGACGGAAGATTTAAAACAAAAGGGGGCATAGAATTACACATCTCCTTTTTTTTACTCTCAATAATAAGACTAATAATGAAGATGATGATCGTGTTATCAATAATCTAAGCCATAAGTGAATTTGATAAAGCTATTGGTCTCTTTTTTTGTCTCTCGATTACTGTATGCCATAGAAATTTTATATTTTATATTTATTGTTTTTTTTAATGAAAAACAGTTCTCTCTTTGACTGGTCAATAACTTTCCTTACCTGTGATTGGTTACTTTTTTTCCAATCTTTAATAACTGCTTAATTTGAAAATAAAATCATTTAAAATAATGGAGACATATATATATGTGAAAGTTATTCAATACCTGGAACAAAATGAATAAACACGAAAATAGGTGTACAGATCAGATCAACAGAATAATATTATTATTAATATTATTCATTTGTCTATCTACTGGATCAGTTTGCTGAAAAAGTTTCCCATGCATGCACACACGCACACTCGTATTCACATATACATTGTTCAGTTAGGAGACAGTTTTTCAGTCACCACATCACTATGGGTAAGAAGAATGTAGTCGAAATGCAACATAATCAGTGCCCTGTGACGTATGTTTGTTTAACAGATATCATATAATCACGTATATAAAAGCGTTTTGGTGAGGTCTGCAGCATACCTTTCATTAAAAATTCAGCTAAGCTTGTTAATGGTATGAATATTTCGAACACTTGCTGAAGCCATCTTGGATTTCCGGCCGGTCCATTTATATTACACGGAAACCTTGAGTTTTTGTTGACATGTCAGTCCGTAGTGTGGATGCTTCAGCGAGATCCTGAGACAAATATAATGTCTCTTGGTAGATGGTTTCTTTAGTGGACCAGTCACATACTAGGTGATGTGCTAGCGTTTGAAAAGATTATTGCTCATTATGATTCTTAGTGGGAAACCAATCACTTACTACAAATGAAGGTACATGTAACTATATGAGACGAAAAGTGAATTCCACTGCTAGTCCCCACCAGCCAAGAAGGTTTGAAAACAATCTTCAGGGACAATTCAGTGACCTGCTGACCATCCTCTTCAGTGTTTAAATAGGTCAAATGATGTCGAATATTTGTAGCCTAGAATATAAGTGTGAACTTTTATTGTTCTTTATGCTCTAATTTTCCTATCACGGATGCCTCATCAGCAGGACTGATGATTCCATTAATGCTGACTTAATTAGGCAGTAAGATGCATTACCAATTTGTACAAATATTTACTTTTGCATTGTCTTTTATCTGTCTAACTGTAAGTAAGCCTGATATTCAAGAATAGAACCTCAGTAAGTAGGTATCTGAACATAGATCCACTCAATAGTCTATGCAAAGAGAAAAAATCACCTGAAGATTGGATGGAGGATTTCATCATGAGCTGACATCATTTAGAGAACCAATGGAAAAACCTGGGAGTACTGGACAGCTGTTTCGAAGCCCAGTTTGGGACTCCTGATCAGTATTCACCCACTGGGGTTCAAACCCAGAACCTTCTGGTTACAAGGAGAGCTCGTAGACCATTGAGCCACTGGGACCCGATTTAATGACCTGCGCATGAATTCCAACTTTTGCCAATTCATGACATGGCGCGACCACTTCGCAATGTCTTCTTTGATGAGTTACTGCTTCACCTTCAACCTTTTGGCCCCTACTGGTCAGGGCTTCCCACTAGAACCCTAGGTTAACTGCCTGAATAAGTCCAGTCGCTAGTGAGCATCAGATTAATTTTCAAGTATTAGTTTTGTAGGTTTCAGTGGCTCAATGGTCTACGAGCTCACCTTGTAACCAGAAGGTCCTGGGTTCGAACCCCGGTGGGTGTACTGCCGAAAAGTCTCAAACTAGGCTGCAAAACAGCTTTTCAGTACTCTCGGGTTTTCCAGTGGATCTCTAACTGATGTCAGCTTATGATGAAATCCTCCATCCAATCAAACAAATTCCCCAAAAAAGCAATACCTGAAAATCATCTGAAGAAACAATCAACCAGCTAGATCGATAATGAAGTCCTCATGCAACGCAAGAGAATGAAATTTTAGAAGATTGTGAATTAGAAAACATTCTCATCCGTCATGTACAATAAGACAATGAGATCATGGGACCATCATGGAAGAATCCTTTTTCAGTCTAAAGCTACTAGATACCGAATAATTCAAACAATAGTAGTCATAGCAGTTCTTCTACAACAGTGGGAAATTTGTGTACGAAAGAATTAAGTCCAGCTACTAATACTATCTTGGTTTGCTGTTGAATCTATAAATTCATAAGCAATGATTCATAACATGCATTTTAGGCTTAATCTTCCCTTCCGTAGGCACAAATTCTCTATATCCTATGTTTATTATTAAACCCATTTGAAAAAACCTTTAGTTTTTACAACTTACCTGATATTCATTATAGTGTTATATCTAGGCACACTCTGACATACGCATGCATGAAATGTAATCTATCCATCTTGATGATTCGGCGTTATTTAAAAAACAGATGAAGGCGTACCTTGCCTTTTCGATTGTGGTTGGCTTGGACATCTTCATCCGTTCCAGCTGCCTGTGGTTGAAACCATGCTTTCTAAATAACTGAAAGTAGTGACCTCTGTCAAATTCCCCCCAATGGTGATGATTGGTGGTGGTTGTTGTTGTTGCTGTTGCTTGGTTATCTCCATCTACTCCGTCTTTTCTATGTTCGCCTGGAGTCCTGTTTTCACTACCTGCCTTGTCAGTCAGATTTTTGGTTTTCACTCTCAAGTCTTCGAGTTTGTATGACATTAAACATAAATGATTTATGTGCGAATCGAGGTCTTCTAGAGTTTTCTCATTGGTCCAACGTACTCCTGTCTTCTCACTCCCCAGAGTCTGACGCATAATCCAGTCCACAACAATTCAGAATATCATTGGTGATAGTAAGATGGCAGCCCTGTCTTATTACTGTGTTGACTTCGAACGCCTCACCGAGTTTTCCATTGTGAACCACCTAACACTTGGCATTATCATATAGGCAGCTGCTGAATGAGGTTTATGAAGACTTGTGCACTACGCGCCGTAGTGTTGAAGTAATTTCCAAATCACTTCTTGATCAGCGCTGTCTGATGAAGACCTTTTCTGAGTCGATGAAGTTGAGGAAGGGGGAGGTTTGACTGACGTTCTATGCCTTGTTCTGTGATGACGATGCGCAATTTGATCAGCATACTTTCCATCTTTTCTAAATCCAACTTGTTCTGGTGGGTGGTGGAGTTCTCCATCCAGTGCATCTTTTATTCTCTCCAGGCCGAGGTGACTTAGTATTTTAATTGGCATGGACAAGAACATTATTCCATGTCAGTGCTTCCAGGGGCACAAGTCGCCTATCTTTGATAGCTTAACAAGGTGACTTTTCATCCAATCGGTAGGTACCTTTCCTTCCTTCCAAGCCTTTAGTTATAATGGCATGTGCACATCTTTCGCAGTCTCTTGGTCCGTTTTCAGCTCTTCGGGAGAATTTCGTCTGGCCCTGTTGCCTTCCAGCGCTTCACTGTCGTGATTGTATTCAAGAATTTAGCCTTTACCTGTAGGACCAAGTGAAATTATCGGGATGATGAATTTTGTACAGGAATAGTCGACAGATGGTCGGGAACTTCACTAGTTAGAATCTATCTTACTGTCACTTTGATCACCGTCTATGTAACGACATACTCTTTGGTGAAATTGAAGGTCAGTGGATATTTTCCTATGTAAATTCCGTCTGTGTGCGCAAATTTACACGTACACATAGTAGCAATTACAGAGAGAACAGAAAGAGAGACTTACCTAGGTTATCTGAAAGTGCACTAAAAAGCCTACTTCCTAAGAATAAAAACGCTTTCAATAATGCCAATAACAGACATCTTGTCGATGCAGATCACGAGAAGGATAGCATGGAATCCTTTTAAAATTATCATTACACAAAGCAATTCAGTTCTTTACTCAAGATTTCCGAAGCAGTTGCTACCAAAAGATTGGAACCTGATTTACGTGTTTATAAGAAAGCAGTTGACAGTCGTGCCTTGTCTTGCCAACTAGATGTCTTTCCTCTCTTTTGTTTGAATACGCAGTGTTTCACTGCAACCGTTTCCCTTTCGCTATAAGGTGATTTGATTTATGTTTGTTTTGATGATCTGAGTTTGCCACATCACGATTTATCCACCTACTTTCTTCATAACGCAACTGCTTATCGATTTTATCCAAAAATTTATATTTCGACTTTGTTTTGTTCCCAAAAGCGATTCGTCTATGCGTAAATTAAATAAATATAATTTCTTCTGTTAGCTGACCTGATGTCACCTTTTCAAGTAGGTCATAAACTTCTCTGTATACAAGCCTAATTAAAAGTTTAGGTTATACTCAGCTGCGGAGAAACCAACGAAGAAAATAATGACTGCATCTTATTTTGCATAAACCGTTTTTTTTATTCTTTTACGTTCCCAGTAGAACATAGGGCTTCAAGTTACAGTCTTGAAGTTCCGGTAGCAGTGGTTTTTATTTCTTTTACGGGATGGCGTTGCTAGCCTCATGCTCAACCTTTCCTCTTTGGCAGTCTTATTACTGGCTTAGAGAGGTAAAGGAATGCGCTGACTGGGGATCGAAACTGGGACCACCTGTATGGCTGGCAGGCATTCTACCGCTGTGCAGCCGACGCAGAACCCGTTGTTTTTGCTTTATTCAAGCTATGTCCGCTAATCAGGTATTTTTTTATCATTAATACAAATCTTTATTAAAGAAAAAGAAAGACTAAATATTCATACGTATTGGAACTCTGTTTGATCTCTCAAAGTGATCAGTGCTGATGACGTCATCAGGTCTGGTAATGAGACGTAGACTTTCAAAGACCATATACTGAGTAATTGAAATGGTTATTCAATGTTTAGCGGTAAAATAGATAATAACATCCAGCCGATGTTTTTTACCTGTCAGTGAAGGAAATGTTTTAAGCTGCAGTCGATTATTTTATTTTTTGTGGTCGTAAAAACTAACGTTGAGCTCGCTGCACCCTTATATTAACTCTAATTTACGCTTATAAGATTAATTCATGTACGCATATTATGCCTTTAGTACGTCGGTAGCACAGTGAACGAATGTTTGCCAACCACGCCACACGTGGTTTGGGGTTTGATCCCCGGCCGTCGCTCTCCTCTACCTCGCTAAGC